CAACTATCTTCATCCCCAGGCCTGACGGGCTAGCCAGTTCTTCAAGGCTGTGCGGAAGGCCTGGACGGTGGTGAGGGTACGAATCTCCACGGGGGATGCTCTCCTCTAAGTATTACTGCCTATAAAAAGAATATGGCAAAAGAAATTGACCCAGCAGTCCTACGATATATACAAACACCAGTGTGTGTGTATGGGGCAGCGGGAGGGAGGCAGAAGCAATTAGCTTTCTGAATAAGGAGGCTTTGCCCTTCCAGAATCTACAATGTGAGTGATAAAGGAGATTCTGAATGGGAAATGGGAGCTTTTCTTCTCTCTAATTGTTACCCCAGAAAGCATCGATGCATATTTATCTGTGAGAGGCATACAAATTTAATAACTGGCACACAACACAGGTTCCTTAGATTAGTGTTGATCTTACTTATGGCCCTAGTATCTCTGCCAATTTGTGAATTGCTATCTATGAAATAAGGCAGAAACATCAACTAATTACAACAAGAATCAGAATCAGCAACTATTAGATTCAGGCTACATTGAATGCAGAAAGGAGTCCAAGGCACTAACAGCACATGCATATACACTGCTTGGAACTACTACTACTCATAGAGAGACAGAGGCATCCCTGCAAAACTTACAATAATACATCACATTTACCGTATATCCTATCTTTCCTTTCAACACAAATCACTCCAAGTGACGGTTTAGCAGGACAAATTTCCTTATTAGTCTCTAATCTAATTTGGTTTGAGGATATAATAAGCAAGGCAGCAGTTATCCAACACGGAAGGTCAGATTTGGAAGAGACCACCCTTATCCCATGCAGTCTCTCATCCAATGCATTAATTAACAACGACAATATCCCCAACAGGAGGTTATCCAGCCCTTCCCTTGTTTAGCAGCTTAGGAAATTTTTCTTGACCAAAATCTATTCCCATATAATTTAAACCATTCTCTTGTGCCATGTCTTCTGAACCAACTTTACCTGTTCCATATTCTATGTGACTGGCATTCAGATATATATTTCTATGTACTCTGTCATCCTTCACTATACTCCAATTTCCCCACCCTGTTTCCCTGAAAATAAGACCTCCCCGGATAATAAGCCCAATCGGGCTTTTGACCACATGCGCTAAAATAAACTCTCCCCTGAAAATAAGCCCTCCCCAAAAATATTGCAACACAGCAGCACCCATGAGGTGATCACGCTTGCTGCCTCCTGCACCTCAAAAATAATAAGAAGGCCAAGCACTTATTTCAGGGGTCAAAAGAAAATAAGACTCTGTCTTATTTTCAGGGAAACACAGTACCTAAGTGTAACACTTTTCATTCGCATTGTATGGCATGGAGCCTGGATATTTGAGAGACCACTTATCTCCAAGTTTCGGCCTGCCCAATGCAATGAAGCAGAGCAGGTGCACTCAGGTCTCCTCCATTAAATATGGTTATCTTGTGAGACTTACGAAGTGGGCCTTCTCTGTTACAGCCCACATCCACTGGAACAGCATTCTCCTGCCCTCCCTCCCAAGAGATAAGGATGGTTTTCTCTCTCTCCTGGGAGTCTGGAAAGCCTTAAAATCCTGGCTCTGGTCCCAGGCCTGGGGTTGACAGTTCTCATTGTTAATGGCTCCTCTTTTGTTTTGTGGGTTTTACTTTGTGAATATTTTATCCTGGGCTGCCTTTTGATTTAACATTTCTCACCGTTTATGATTTTTAAATTTTGTATGTTGCCCAGACTCCACTAGAGTTGCGCAGCCAATAAATTTAAATAAATGTGTTTCTACTGAAATTTATTTTTTGGATTTCGCCCAATGTTCCATTGTACTAGATCCCATTCAGTCTTGAAATTGTCCTCCAAAGACTTTGCAACCCGCTAATATCATCTGCAAAGATAATACCATTTTAAAACAGTCATTAAATTATGAATATATTCAATAGCAAGGTGCCTAAAACAGAGCCCTTTGGTATGCCACTCAGTACTTCCTTTGATGTGTAAGTGTTCCAACCCATATTGTCACCTTCTCTCCTAGTTCATGGGAAATTGTGTTGAATAAAGTTGTCTGGTTTTACCAGAATATCTCTGGGCTCCTTTGGCCCATCATCCTAGTAAAATCTTTTTCAAAAAAGAATACAAAGGGTTGCTAACTACTAATATGTGATCTAGTAATTGCCGTGCCAAAGCAAGTACCCAAAGTCAACCTGGTAACCCAAGGGCAACACTTATACATCTAGGACTATCCAAAGGAGAACTACATCACCCCTGGTTTTCTTTATTTTCCCCAATTCTCATCTGAGTGATCAGCCTCATGATCTTGTCAGCCTGCGTACTCAAGCATTTTGAGATCATTAATAGCAACTGTTAGTACACCACACAAGACGACTTCCTGATGTTCATGTTGTGTAGTTAGATGTGTTTGGAATGCACCTTTCATTGTTTCCAGCCAACCTGGCTACTTCTAGAGAAAGGATGTGCCGAGGCTGAAGAAAGCTGCTGTGTGAAAAGGCATCTGGCGAATGTACCAGTGGCTGAAGGAAACCGGTTATGTAGTTAGAAGGTAGAAATTTAAGAAAATTCACAGGAGAGCCTCCTCGGTGTACAGGATGTACATGCAGAAGTTAGAGAACATCACATGGAAATGCAATTTTAATTCACATAATAAAGCTTTTTATACACATAGTAAACCAGGATCACAAAATCCCATCCCTTCCCCCTTGCTTGATCAAGAATGTATTTTATTCCCTCCTCTGCCCAGCTGTTGAAATAGTTTACTTAGCTATCCCCTTCAACCATGACCTTTTTGCAGGAGAGGCCCTTGTAGCTTAGAGTTGTGAAGGATAACAGAGATAATAGAATGCATAGGAATAAAAAGGGAGGCAGCTGTTATGGTTCCATGTGCAGCTGGAGTTGGAGGAGGAAAAGACACTCATGATTGTTCTGCCCATTACTGAACAAGATAACGGGGAGCTGACAGACAATTTCCGTAAGAAAGAGATAAGCTGAGAACAAGTTAATTGTAGGTTCCTATTAACAGTTATGCTGAGAACAGGGGGGCAGTAAAACAAACATCACTGTGGTCAAAGACCTAATTTATAGCATTTTATTTTGTTTTTATAGTCTGTGGAGAGTCTCAAGACACCCAGGTCATGGTTGTGTCTCAAAGATGCTTTTTCAAAAAGCAACTGGACTTTTTTTCTCCTCTTGAGGAACAACAACAAAATGTTTTGTTTCTCATCCAAGAAACCTCATCAGTAGTGATGATGGTGCTGGAGGGGAATGGAAGGATAGGTATGATTTCTATACCCATCCTATTTTTATAGTCTCAACAACTTCAGAATTGAAGAAGCTTGTTGAATGAGAAGCAAAATGTCTTCAAGAGGGAAAACAAAGGAAGTCCAGTTGCC